ACTTCATCAACGTGGCGAGCCTTGCACGTGAGAGGCACAGTGGAGGTGGAGTTCAAAGAAGAATGAGAAATTTAATGGTTTCAATCTGCCCTTGCTTTTTGTTTTTGTTTTTGTTTTTGTTTTTGTTTTTATTTTTGCAATGTGGCCGTTTTTTGTTTTTATTCTTTGTTTCGCAAAGTGCGCTCTTTTAGTTTGTAGTTATGTGACAACGATATATAAGGATAGAGAGTCCCTTTTGAACCTGTAAATGGTTCAAACTCTGAACTTTACAGGCGTGAGTCGGGTTGTTTAGTCTCAAACAATTTCAATATATGGGAGAACTTGCTCGATCTCGATCTGGCGTGTGGCTGACAATGCTTTTATGGCTTTTACCCCATTTTCAGCTGAAAGAATTACAAGTCACACACACTCTCTCTATTCAGCTCTGCAGCTATTGTCAGGCAGGTGTTATTCTAGCTAGACCTGCAGTTGCCCCCGCCTAGTATAGTCAGCGGTCAGCTCTGCAGCTATTGTCAGGCAAGGCTAGTCTAGCTAGACCTGCAGTTGCCCCCGCCTAGTATAGTCAGCTGTCAGCTCTGCAGCTATTGTCAGGCAGGGCTATTCTAGCTAGACCTGCAGTTGCCCCCGCCTAGTATAGTCAGCATTCACTTCCCAGCTCCCATGCTTTCCTCTCCTTTCCATTCCTTCTCTCATCGGGATGGTATGCAGATGTACTAAGCTGTTAATGAACACATCAGTGACATCACGAGTTCAAATCCTGATGGGTACAAGGAAGGAAGGTTAGAGGCTACCCCCTAATGAAAGTTCCCATGCTTTCCATTCCATTTCCATTTCCATTTCCATTTCCATTTCCATTCTGTTCCTTCTCTCGACGGTAAAAGTTCGAACTTCAAACTTTAATCGAAAAAAATAGCAGTTGTTTGGGTGAATACAGTTTTCTTTATCAACTTTGCAAGTTTGCATGTTCCACGGACCCTTTTTTTTTCGTCTTCGTTGAGATAGGGTGGATATCATTGATCTGGTATACGGGTCAGTTACGCAGTATGTTTGTCTGATATGGCTCTCGAACTGCTTGATTGCGTGGTGGTGAATCTGGTGATGTGAGGGAAGCCAGAAGGAGTAGGCTCAGTCGGCTCTACTATAAGCCAATTTAAAGTTTTTTTGTGTGTGTAAGGGTCACCACACGGGACCGCGTAGTGTCCGGGTTTTGGTTTGGTTTAGTTTGGTTTGGTGTGGTTTGAGACCCGGACAGCTTTTAGAACCAGGTAGGAGTCGGACAGGTTAGGTCCGTTAGGATCTAAGTCGAGTCGTGTGTGGGCCCACTACCGGTCTGGCTCCTCAGGGAACCGGACTCAAACCGACGCCGGGACTGAGCAGGTGTAACTTGTAAGGCAATTACGAAAAGCGACGGGGGGATAAGCTGTGCGATCGGGGGACTATATATATATATATGTGAGAGTTGTGTTTTTCAAAATTCTTTTCCGTGTCGGACGTCAACGCTTTCTGGTCGTTTCTGGAGATGGGTAGAATAGTGAAGACGGGATGGCGGTGGGAATGGGGAAAGAAGGTATAGACAAGGGAGAAGTTGGTGGATCCCCCCTGAGGAGGGCCGCATGGCGGTGGTCGCAGCCGGTCGGGGTGTGCCATACCCACCGGAGAGAACAGTTTCTTGCTTGCACTTTGGATATCCCTCAACTCTGGTCTTTTATGGTACACTTCATTATGGAAGTTTCTGCCCGACTGTCAATGTTTGTTTGTTTTTTTTTTTTTTTTTTTTTTTTTTTTAACCAAGTTTTGAAGCAGAAATCTCTGGTCGTGCGGTGAAGATGCATGCTCTCGATGCTCTCACATGGTGTAGCCCGAAATCTACATGTGTGTGTGTGTGTGTGTGTGTGTGTGTGTTCGCTAATCACAACACCAAAAGAAAAAAGAAAAAAAAGAAAAAAAAGAAGGTTGACTGTGACGGAGTGTTTCCATGGACTTTCATGGACTCATCGGTTGTGTGTGCCCTCGGTCGTCCTGTGCCTGGCAGCTCTTGAACCTGGGAAGTTTTCTCTGTCAGTTTTTCGCGACAGCCTTGGTCCTGGCGGGTTCCATGTGTCGGCAAGGTATTCGCTTTTGGAGCATTGCTTGAGCCTCCTTTCACTGGAGTTCGTTCCCAGTCCCCCCGCAGTTGCAGAGAAGTAGCTGCTGCAGTGAGAGTGAGGCCAGCGTTCTTTCGCTGGGTTCTGTCAAAATGAGCGAGCGATATATGTTCACAATCAGATTATCAATTTAGTATTCGAATTGTCAGTAGCCCAGTCAAAAAACGCAAATGATGTCACAATAGCAGGCTTGGGTCTTCCAGGTTCTTCAAGTCTTATCCATTGTTATTCTCCGAATGCAATAAAATTTAAATAATAGTGATAGTAATGATAATGATAGTAATAATAGGTGATAATAGGTGTTCTGGCGGTTTTGGCGATCTAGTGCACTGCCGTGACGATCCCTTTTCTTTTATCGAAGGCATATCGCTGCTGGGCACAGAGCTGCTGTACATTATCCGGAAAGAAAAATACAAAAATAGGATTGATTAAGTCAGATTAACTTGATTTGGTCCTTGGCCTCTACAACACCCTGGGCTTAAACCCTTCAAAAGTGTGGGTGAGACACTGACGTCTTTTCTGCAAGACTTCCAAGTTGCAAACATTTGTGCATTCCAGGGGTTTTCCTGTACTCTGCTTTTTATAAGTTCTTAAGCTTTTTTTTTCTTTCAATTCTGTAAAGGCCGGCAGGCTTGAGATATCAGCTTCGAACCGATCGGCGGCCCCAGGTTAACCCAGAGTTATTTTTACTCAACTGATTCCCATCTGGATTCGAACTGAGGTCTGTAGTTCAGCAGTTCATGGGTATACTACCAGCTGAGCTGGTTTTCCTGTAATTTTCTTGAGAATACAGTAGATTTTTGAGACGCATCAGAAAGTATCTTTTTTGTGCCAAAAGGTTTTTCACAAATATTCAGTGTCAGAGTTAGAGTCAGAGTCAGAGTCAGAGTCTGTCAGACCCATGCGGATTTTCTGGCACGCCTCCCTAGGCGTAGATTTACAGCCAGAATTGGGCCTACCTCCAGTTCTATCAGCCCAGCAGTGTGAACTGCAACCAAGGCTCCATCTTGCAAATCGCATTGAAAAAAGCAGTGTCCTAATCAACACAACCCCATTTCCTCCCACCCCCTGTTCTCTCTCTCTCTCTCTCTCTCTCTCTCTCTCTCTCTCTCTCTCTCTCTCTCTCTCTCTCTCTCTCTCTCNCTCTCTCACACACACACACACACACACACACAGCACACACACACACACACACAGCACACAGAAGCAGCAGCAGCAGCAGCAGCAGCAGCAGGAGAGGTGGAGACAACCTTGAAACATGTGTGTGGTGGGTCTGGCGCAGTCCATGTGAAACTGGGGACACCAGTTACCAGGCCTGCTTTCAAATGGAGTGGGGCCCAGATGGGACTGGGTCCTGGTCCAACTTTTTGGGCCTGTTACAATCCTGGCTATCTCCGACGTGCAAATTCACAAGGAAAGACAACGCCAACCAATTGCAAAAGAAATGAAAGCACTTGCAAAGAGATAGAGACCGGAAAAAAAGAAGAAGAAAGAAGAAGAAAGAAAGAAGAAGAAGAAGAAGAAGAAGAAGAAGAAGAGGTACATCAGCAAGACCAGTGACAAACCCCCCTTCTCTCTCCACTCTCCTCCTCCTCCTTGTCTCCGCCAATCTTGTTCTTCTCCAAATAATAATAATAATAATAACAATGAGTGATTGAAGCAGAATCAATATCCGAAGTTCCCTCTTACTGCCAGCACAACAATAGGTCCACCATAGCCATGTCCTCCCTCTTCTACTACTTCTCACAATCCTAGGCTATGGCGGACATGCAAAAGACAACGCAAAGAAGCTATGGCAGCTGCTCTTCGGGCCGCCATGCCTGACTCTGCCTTGAAGTCTTCTTGGTGCAGCGCTACCCCAACTGGGGCCTTCCAGATGCAGCGCCTAACAAGGTGATGAAGATGGTGTCCACCATAGCCAGGTAGGTACCTCGCCACTCTCCTCCTTCGCCCCCTTCTTCTCCTCCTCAAGCTGGGCTGCTTGCCATAGCCAGGCAGAGCGCCCAGCTCTCCTCCTTCCTCCCCAGCAGCACTCTGAAAACCAGCGCCCGCTCAAGCAGCATGCCGCCCAAACTTGCCTACTGCAAATGAGGAGGAGCTACTCGCTCCTCCAGGAGATATAGCGGCCAACGAGCCTCACGGCTGATGACTTCCAGTCCGCGCGGCCGCCAAGCAACCGGTACCTCCTCCCTTTCAGAAGGAAACATCATTGCAAGCTCTGATATCCTCCGCACGGGCGCTAGACTCAGGCCTACTTGTACTGGTACCCGCCTACCTCCAGGCCTACAGCAAATGGGCCTCTAAAAATACTACTTTTGTCTTCTTCTGCTCGGCCTCCGGTTCCCGACACATCTACCGCTACTTGAGTGGTACCGGCCTACCTGCTACTTGAGTGTTTTTCCCGGCTGCCCTCAGTGTCACACGCCTACTCCCCGCTGCTTGAGTGTTTTCCCCGCTGCAACCCTCGTAACCGACTGCCGCAGGTACGCACCCCCCCCCTTTGGGCCTTTCAAACAAACAAGTGCCCTGGCCAGCTACACACGCACTCAAGCACTCACTCAGGCCTCCCGATAAACAAACACACGGGGACCAAAAAAAAAAAAAAAAAAAAAAAAAAAAAAAAAGAAAACACGGGAACCAATAAACACGCTCATACACAGACTTAGAATCTCAGCAAACAGCGGGAATATCAGCAGCAACACAATCCAGTGGGAAAAAAATAGAAATCAGCACAGTTCTGACAACTTCTCAGTCTGTGATTTTGCAGGTCATTACAGGTCAGGAATTTGGCCGAACGGATGGTGAAACGATCATTAAAAAAAAGAAAAAACTGTGATCGGGGGGGACTTTTCTGCAGTTCCCAGTTTTCAGTCTGCACTTTTTTCGCACCCTGAAAGGCTGAAACACATTTCCCGAATTTCCCGCGAAATTCGCGCAAATCTTGTTTTGCTCTTTTGGACCTCACATTTTTGCAGGCCGCAGTCATTTCTGCGTTTGCAAATGCAAATGACACTTAAAAAAAAATATCTATATATATATATATAGCTTTTTTTATTGAACCAAGGTACCCGTTCTGGTGATATATGGAGACTGTGGAAAATATTCAGAAGCTGCAGAGAGTGGAGGTTGTCGGCATCTCAACGCAACTGATCCCGATGTGCTCTCTGCTTGTCGACGGCATGATGGTCTATTTCTAGCTGCTTCTAAAGAGAGCATGCAAGAATTGAAAGCTCTCATGGACATGGACAAATTCTGCTCCCTATCAGATGTTTTAATGAACCGGGTAGTGAGGCGGAAAGGTGGTGGATCTATATCATGGGGTTGAGTTAGGCCATCAGAGTACAGCAAGACGGAAGGGCTGTAGATTTATATCCAAGGGGTTAGGCCATCAGAGTTGGTGTCCCCATTAGATGGGTTTAAATCCTTTCAAATCCTTTTAGGATGAAATTCAATCCCATCAGAGTCTTTTAGGGGTCATGCTTCCAGCTAGTGCCTTGCCCGAGTAGACCTTAAGGCTTAAGGTCCTTATCACCGTATCTAGACTGTAAATTGCCCAAAATATGGTGATAATGACCATGCGTTCTATTCGGAGAGGGGAAGGCGGTAGCGTGAAGCCGGCCAATCACTTGTTTGCTTTGCATCCACTGGGCCCTACACAAGCTCATGATATGGAAACATACATTCATCTTTCTTTTTTTGGGGGGTGGGGGTGGGGGTTGGAGGGGGGGGAGAAGAAAGATAGATTCACATCTCCAGTAAGAAGGGTGCTGGTTTTTTCAACTTTTTGGGGGTGGGAAAGAAAGAAAGATTCACATCTCTCGGTGGGAAAAAGGGCGGGGGAGAGGGGGGCGGGGGGGAGAAGAAAGATAGATTCACATCTCGAGTGGGAAGGGTGCTGCTTTTCGGGGGCGGGGAAGGAAGAAAGATTCACCTCTCTGGTGGGAAGAGCGCTGGTCATCAATAATGTTGTCAGAGGGGCTTCCCCCCTCTATTCCACAGGGCTGCGATTTGGCCACTAGATCTTGAAAGGTGAATCTCTATGGAAAGGGCTATCATGGTTGGAGTCTAGACCCTAAAGAGAAATTGAACTGCATACCTACACTGGTACTACCTATGGAGAATCAATCATTCCATGAAATCCCTCATGCCATGCTGATCCCCAGAGTGGCATGGGATGTACTCGTCTCCTCCCATCTGACCAAGGAGAGCGAGGGAGGGTTCGCAGTCCCGGACCAAACACTGCGCGCTTGGGTTGGCAGGGAACCAGGCAGGCAGGCACTACTGGATCCAGTTATCATTTCAACTGCCGTCTTCCCCCACACACAGCGCACCCTCATTTTCATTGTATCTGACTGGAAAGTTAGCTTGTATACGTTCATAGTCAGGGTGCGTTATGTCCGGGGGAAGACGGTAGCTCAGCTGGCAACACCCATGAACTGCTGAATACCGATGCAAGTTCGAATCCAGATGGCACTACCTTCTTCCCCCGAATAGAACGCACGGTCATTATAGCTGTATTTAGACTGAAAGCTACCCCAAATACAGCTATAATGACTGTACGACATGTACGTTGTATTCGGGGGAAGAAGGTAGTAGTATGAATTTCTGAATTACCTCGGGCCGGTCAGTTCCACGATGATATCCCAAGGCCGTCATGCCCTTAAACCACCAGTACTTCCGCAAGTTGTGGCTTGTATACCAGAAGG